GGCGTACAAGCTAGCAGATGACAAAGGACGTAGAGGACTCTGCATTCTGTGCACAGTCATGTGCCTGCACGATGTGGGGGAAGAATGGCTACTGCCCCAACAATGCGTCACAACTGTGTGGATATGTACGATAAGTCAACGATATACTCTTTGTCACTACTTGGAATAGCCGTAACGCACCTACTCACGAAGAAATTCTAAGAAGAAATTCCATACAATTTTTGGGCTTCTGGTGGCCAGATAATATCTAAGTCAAATTAATTTAACAATTTATTACCTTCGGGATTTTGTATTCATCATGCCCTATCTAAATTTTCCAAAATAACTGAATCAAGTTTATGCCATTTGAGGCCTTGAAATATTTCTAATTATTTAACTTGATCTACAGATTTTAATGCAAACAGTATGTATGACAGAGTATTACAAGTATAAAGGTAAACAGATCTAGTGAAGCTACTTTCCTTGCAATCTGTAATGCAAAACTCACAACGCACGGCTCGTTTACCGTTGAGACAGCAGCCTACACAACCAAAATGCAGAAAGGCTTGTTGCACTTTGCCGAGGTATTGCTTAAGAGGATTAACCCACTGAGCTCAATCCTGACAGCGTCACAAAAGCGGATGTTTTTTGGGAGGATGCAACTCACCAAATATTGTCTGTGCTAAATTTATACTCAAATTTCTGTATGTTCTGCCTTCAAATGGTAAAGCTTTCAATGCAGAACAATGAAACTGTGATATTCCAACTTGGCTAACTTAGCTAAATTGTACGCAGCCAGAACAAGCGCCTCGTCGATGATAAAAGGTGCTGTCTTTGGAAGATCCTATGCCTGCCATTGCTTTTGGAATAATCAGATCTCCCAATGAAATTCACAAATGCAATAGGGGTATTTTTTGACCTTAAATTTATTAGAGGCTGCTACAGATTGAGGGGAATGTTACAAATTTACTACACAAGACGGTCATTTTCGATGCATATTCTTACCAAAAGAGAGGTTTTTAAGTTCCTCGTGTACGCTTTTGTTCTATCATGAATAAGAGGGTGGTTTTGGCACGAAGCACCCGCCTTTAAGTTAACATTGAATGCAGTCGAAGTTCTTTAGAAGAAATTATTCGTCTTAGCCAAATACTAGGAGGAGCGCGGTGGCAGTGGTGGCAGACAAAGGGACACCAGCACCTCTATGTGCAAAAGTGGTAGTGGAGGATCCATGTGCCTCAAAAGGCATAGTTACACAAGGTAAAATGCCAAATGCGAACAGGAATGAGCAGATCAGTACTGTACTCTTCTGCTTAGCCGCGTTTCC